TAATTTGACATAGCCAACATACTTCTCGTAAATAATTATTTTTAACTAAATTATATTTGTATAAATTTTGTATTCTCTTTAATTATATAGGTTTAAAATTAAAGTTCCTTGCAAGTTATATTAATTATTCAATCAATCTAAATTTATCTTTCTACTTTTTTTATATATAATATTATTATTTGTGTAAGGTATAGATGCATTAAAAAAAAATTGATGTATTTTATTTAGATATTGAATAAATTATACTTTAAATGTATTTTAAATTATTTTGAAGTATATTTTTTTGTAAAAAGTAATTACTTTTTTTTAGAAAAATTGAGGAAATATTTAAAGAGAGATAAAAAGAAAGGGTAAAAAGAAACATCTGGTAAAATACAATACATTATCATTTTTTATGTGAACATGAAGTCTTAATTGAGTGTGCATATTAAAATTTAAAATTACTCTTTCTTTCTGGTTGTAATGGGATAAAAATACATTAAATAAAAATTGATTTATAAAAACAGTTAGAAAACAACAACAACGATAGTGAAGGATTTCACGCAACTAGTTTTCATTGTATTTTTTTTAAATTGTGTAATTTTAAATTACTTATAGTGTGCATCCCTATTTTTTTATACATTATCCCTAATTATTCAATCTAAACCAAAATTTCTCCAAAATAGTTTTTTAGGATTATAGATAGTTGTGTTGAGATAAAAATATATTAAATAAAAGTTGTTGTATTTAAAATGACGATTAGACAAAAACAATAAAAATAGTGAAATATTTCACATTATTTTTTATTAAAAATATTTTAAAATTGCCATCACCCCAAATGATTCTATTCAAATCAATTTTTTTCTTAGCAAATTCACTCTATTCTCAATACAGTAAACATCTTGGTCCAAATAAGATGTGAATATTCCAAATCTTTTTTTACATTTCACATATAACTCATTTACAAACAATCTGTCTTGCTACCTTTTGTAATAGTAAACTCACAAATTTTATGTATTTAATAATAATTTATAATAAAGGATAAATAAAAAATACAATGGAAAATTCAATTTCAACAATCAAATAAAACAAACACTATTTTACTTGTATATAAATTCTGATCATTTATAAGTATATGTATAAGTTTAATAAAAGGGTACCAAATCAGATTTTTAAGAGAAATTATGCTTACGTGTAGATGTTGAAGACCTATGTGAATAATATTATTTATGAATGGAGTGATAGTTTTCTAATTTTTTTTTTTACATTCATTTAGTTTCAAATCGATATAATAAATGACTTTTTATATTATTTTAAAATTGAATTTAGATTAAAAAAATTACAAATTTATTCTGCATTTCTCATTACAAACCTCTACACATTTTCTTCCTTATTTCATTTGGTTGATTCTTCCTCACATAAAATAAAAATATTATATTACTTTGTTATAATATTTTGTATTTTATGATTTTATTAGGAATACTAATTTTGATTAAATTGAGCTTTTTTATTGTGTGTGTCTGTTTTTTTTTTTAATGAATTGTTGTTAATCTGTCATAAGTTTTTTTTTTAATTTCATATTCAATTATTTCTTATGTGGATGGTATTTGTGTATAATTTTATGGGTTTATTTTTTTATTGAATATATTTATTGAAATGTATGTAAAAAATAAGATTATATGAATTTTGTTAGTATAATTTTGTTAAGACAATTATATTTAAAACCCATATAATAATTTTTATTATATTGATAATAAGTTAGTTATTAAATGCCAATTATATCATTTAGATTTATATTAATTATAAAACTGTCGTAAAAAAAATTGTAAAAGAAAAAAAAACACTTCTTTAATTTCACATCTTTATTTATCTATTGTGTTTCTTGATCTATACATTTCTTATCCCTTCAAAATTACATTATTTTAAAGAGTACAATTATATAATTTGAATTACACTCTATTTTTAAGTTATTTTTAAATATGATTTTTAAGAGCACATTATTTTTAGAAAGTGTTTGAAAAGACAGAAAACACAACACATAACAAAAATACATAGAGAAGTCAAATTGCAAATTTTCATAATTTCAATTTATTAATTTTGTCATGTTTTAACTTGCTATAATTTATTATTTTAATCTAATTTAATCATGGGCACCAAAACAAATTTTTTGAGACGACACCAAACAAATTACTTAGAAAAAAAATTATAGACAATCTAACCTTGTGCTCCATCTAAACCTATAAAAATGATGTTATGTTTACAATAATTTATTAATTTTAAAAAGATAAATAAAAACACAATTGAGAAGTCAATTTCAATAATCAAAAGAAAACAAAAACAAGTATTTTCTAATATAATTTTGCATATGTAATATATAAGTATATATGTCTGATTTTAAGTGTATGTAATTAACAATAATTTATTAAAAATTTAAAAATAAATAAAAAATATTGAGAAATTCACTTCAACAATAAAAATAAACTTCTTTAATTTCACATTTAAAATACATATATATATATATATATACATATATATATATATATATATATATATATATAATTTTTATTTTTATTTTACTTTTTCAAGTTTAGCCTGACACTTATTTTGTATTTCTTGTCCTGGGCATTTGCTGTCCCTTTCAAATTACAATATTTTTAAGAACCACAATTATGATTTGAATTACATTTTATTATTTTTAAATATTAAAACAGATATTTGAAGAGGCAACTAAAACGCATAAGACAAAAAGAAAACCACATCATATTCAAAATTTTCACTATTAGAAGTTTTAATTTATTGGTTTTGTCAATTTTAATATGTATTTAATGGATTAAACAGGGTCACCTGTAGGAACGAATGAGCATTCTCCTTATGTCATCATTAATTACTATCTTAAATAATTTATTATAGATTATATTGAAGTTATTTATATATTTTTAAAAAAATTAATTTCAATTATTATTGTCTATCAAACATGTTTAAAAATAAAATAGGCAATTATTGATGTAATAATTAATGCTATTAATGTATGTTTAAGTTTTAAGTTTAATTATATTTTTAAAATTATTTACAAAATATTCAAAATAGAACTTTTAATTTATATTAATATAATATTTGTATAAAGATTTAATTATTTATATTTAAATTTTAGATAGTGTGGATCATTCGATCTATTAGATTTAGAACATTTAATAATTTTCAAAATTTATACAAAACTCGTAATGCTAAAAGGAGAAAACTTACCTAGATATGACTGATATTGTTTTAAAATTACAATTATAATTATATTTTAGTAATATGTAATGTATAAAATGTAAATTAATAAGTTTTGTCCAAACTAAGCTTGTATTGATATTAAATATGATACATTCATTAAATTTTAGAAATTTAACTTCATTATTTATTATACGACTTTTTTGTTTCTTTTTCTTCTTTTATTCCTCTTTATTGTTTATCTAACAATACTATTAGTAATTTATAGATATTAAATATGTTATACATTCATTAAAATTTATAAATTTAATGTGTTTACTAATTTTAATTTTTGTTTCTCCTTTTTTTTTCTCTTAATCTACTGTACATAATTATTGTACAGTATTAATAACAAAAAATATATTACTCTTTTCATAAATGTATTACTTAAGTAAGCTTAAGATAGTAATTAATTTGAATATATAAAGAAGAAAACAATTAATGCTTCCTTGAAAGGTAAAACATTAATCATTTTGAAACTTCTGTTATATAACGAAAACTAATGTAGTTTTGGAAGGGAGAAAATATTAGATAAAGAAGTAGTAAAACATCTGAACTCCAATACAATATTATTTTTGTTTTTATTTATAAAAGAAATCTATTTTTTTTCTTGAATATAATCAAAATTACTTCATTTATTGATATTTGTCTTAAAATATCATAACCTTTATTAATATTAACTTTGTTTAACTTTTTTTTTAATATTTTCAATAAAATAATCACTTATCATAATTTTTAATATCTTTAAATTAAGTACAAAAAACGAATTTATAAAATTAAGAGTATAATTGATAGAATATAATTAAAACTGTCTCGAACTTTGAAATGTAACGTGTAAAAAAAAAATTCACTTAAAAAGTTGTGACAGATAAAACAAAATATAAAAGAATAACATCGACTAGGGTTGAAGTGATTAATTTTTTATATATATTTAAGTTCACCAAAAATAATCTATGCTTTTTTTTCTTATATTAAAATTGATAGGGAATACTATATTAATGGGAAAATTTTAATTCTAGATGAAAATTAAAACGATCAAAATGAAATAAAGATTGAATTAATATATGCACCTAACATCTATAAAAATAAACATTGTCTATAGATATATCATTAACAAAACAAGAAAAGAATGAATTTTCTGATAATAAAAATGATCATTGCTACTATTAAGTTTGCATGGGATAACTACTTATTTTAATATGATTAAAATTCATAATGAAATATATTAAAATTAAAATTCATAATAAATAACTATTTCCGTAAATATAAATTTAATTTTAGTTTGATAACGGTTATTATGATATAAGATTGGATTTTTTTTGCTGAAAATAAAATGTTTAAAATAGTGTGTAGGTAAGATGTTTTTTTGGTAATAGAAGAGTGTAATTGATCTGACATTAATCAGGAATTTGATTGGAGTCAATATTATAGAAGGGAAGATTTATTTTGAATATTTATTTCCTTGCAATTATGACTCTTAAACGATTGACATAAATGATCTCATAAACTCAAAATTTCCTATTTTAATTATTCTACATAGTCAATGCATCAAAACAAAAAATGTTAAATATTAAGAAAAATAATGTATGCATGAATGAAAGTTGAACTATAAAGTGATGATAAGAGGAAAGAGAAGACACACTGTGAACCTGTGGTGAATTGGAAGTTTTCACAACATTGTGAAACCATCCAGATATCTTAGAAAGAAGAGTGTAAAGGAGAAAAAAGCCAAGTTAACGAAGCGAGAGCGAGAAGCAGAAACAGCAAATATGGGCATTGATTACTACAAAATCCTTGAGGTCGATAGGAGTGCTACAGGAGAGGACCTCAAGAAGGCGTACAAGAGACAAGCCAAGAAATGGCACCCCGACAAAAATCTGAATTCGATGGAAGAAGCTGAATCGATGTTCAGACTAATATCTGAAGCGTACGCTGTTAGTTTTTCTTAAAGGCTGTCACAAAAATTCCACCTTTGAAAGGTCGATTTCATTTACACAGATGAACATTTTTCATTTTTTTTAACTAATGTTATTTTTCTGATGGAAGGTGTTAAGTGATCCCAACAAGAGGGCAATTTTCGACAGGTATGGTGAAAATGGTGTTAAAGGTAAGCTGCCAACTGATGATGCTGGTGCTTCTGGTAGTGGTGGTTGTCGCGGTGGGGCAGGCGGAGCGACCCCTCAGAGTGCTGGTAATGGTTTTGGTGAGTCCTTTGGAAGTCCGGGCTCTGGTGGGGGTACGAGATCGAAGTCTTCTTCTAGGGGAAGAGGAGTAGACACCCATGCAAGCTATGGTGTTCCCCGAAAAGGAAAACCTATTCATAGGAACTTGGCCTGTACACTTGAGGAGTTATACAAAGGGACCACCAAAAGGTTGAGGATATCTCGGGATGTTGTTGATCTCGCTGGGTAAGTTCCTTGTTTGTTGTTGCAGTTACCTGCATTCCTTTTTGTTACTTGTTTGTCTCTAATGCTAATGTGCTGTGCTCAGTGCTGATCTTACGAAAATGGTTTGATTTTGATTCTAGTTTCATTGTGATCCTTAACTCGGTGGGAAATTGCAGAGACATGCAGCTGAACTGTGTAGTTGTCTAGAATCCAAAACCCTTGATTTTGTGGCTAAAATTTCTGTGTGAACAGGTTTCTATACACCTTTAGTACTAAGATTCTTGGATTTTAAACAGAAAGATTGACTAAAGAAGAAACTAGTTTGGCGTATTTAACTTTTTTGGTTCTATCTATCAGCAAAGAGTGTTTTGCTGACTTTTGTTTCTGTTTCATTTTGTAGAGAGTGCTTTGCATGAAAAAATATCGCAATTGAGAACTTTCTACTTGAATCTATTGAGTGGACACTTTTTTCAGTTTTGTATTCTATTCTTTGTTTATTTGCTTTTAATTGATCCGTCTTGGATAGAATATGCTGCAAGGGTTTTTGTTGTTTTGATGTTTAGAATTGAATTGAGTCTATTTTTTATATAACAATTTCAATAAAACATGGAGGGGTCACACCGGAAATTGATCTTGGAATTTTCGCCGGCCGCCACAAGATGGTGATGAATTAGGTTTTGCATGACAGCCATAGCAGTCGATTTGTCCATAGCAGAATAACGTCGTGGAACGACCATGGTAGAAATCCACTACTACAGTGCGGCTCTTCGTGTCAAGAGAAGAAGAAGTTTTGGATCTGTGCGATCCGTTCCGACCTAATATTAATCGAATAATTTTTTATTTTTATTTTTAGGGTTACGAGACTCAATAATAATAAAAAGAGGACTGGTCATACAATCCGACAAAAAAAAAAAAAAAAAGTATCTTCTCTAGTCTGTGTTATCATCGCCACCTTGTTTATTCCATTGTCGTCGTTCTCCAATTCTACGTCTCGTTTTGTCTTCATTGATTCAACCGTCTTCCTTAATTATTACTTTTTCTTTCTTATTTATTTTCTGTTTTCTTTTTCTTCTTTTCTATTTTTTTTCCTTTGATTATTTTTTACTGTTCTATTCTTTTTTCTTCTAACCCATTATGATGTCTGACATTGATAATCCTGTTGTAGTAGGCATGTTTTAGACATCTCCTTCTCGTTAACTTGGTGTATGTACAGTTTCAATGAACTTGTGTTGTTTGAACATTCTTCAAAAAACTTACCATATGAAATATTTGGTTTGTTAGTTTGTTGTTTCATTGATTTCCTTGTGGGTGCAGGAACTGTAGGCAGGTGCAAGAGATCGTGTCCATCGATGTGCAGGCTGGTTGGAAGAAGGGCACGAAGATCACTGTTCCCAAGAAGGGAAATGTAGAGCCAAATGTGACGCCAGCTGATATTGTTTTCACCATAGATGAAAAACGTCATGGGGTTTATACCAGGGAAGGATACAACCTTGTGGTTACCCAGAAGATATCTCTTTTAGAAGCCTTGACAGGTTACACTGTGAACTTGGTCACTCTTGATGGAAGAAACTTGACTGTGCCTATCAACCGAGTTATTCATCCTAGATATGAGGAGGTTATTGCAAGAGAAGGATTGCCTAACCCAAAGAACCCAACAAAGAAGGGAAGCTTGAAGATAAGGTTCTACATCATATTCCCAACCGAGCTCACTCTTCGTCAGAAGGACGTAATGAAGACACTTTTGCCTGCTTGAAATACTCATGAAGATTCACAGAGAAACATAATCTTCATAGAGGTCAATGAGATAACTGTGGTTTCTGCATAAGTTTTGTGATATTTTAGTTACTAAAATTTTCTTTCTGTATTGTGTGGTTGCTTAGTCAATGAACTAAGGTTTGAGTCCTACTTGGTCCGAAAGTTTTAGACTTGGAAATCTAGAGCACAAAGTTGTGCAAAACTATATTGTACTAAGGTCTTATCTCCCCTTTTACAACTTTTCTTTATTTGTTAAAAATGTCTCTGTCGAGGAAGAAGGTGTATATATTATCTTTCTGATCGTGCATTAAGACACATTATTTGTATGGCAATCTAATATCTGCTAGTTTATATCATGGAAAAGGTAAACGCTTTACTCATTTCTTGAGAAAAAGTAATAACCTTTAATTTTAGAAATTTCAGATATTTGAAAACTAGAAAGATGATACATCTGACTCTAATTGATATTCCAAAACAATTATATATGTTTTTGAATATTGTGAAGCTAAATAACCTAAAAACTCTTTTAATATATTAAAAGAGAAAATTGAAGTGGTTTATTTTGATAAATGTGATCCATTTGAGGTAGAATCTTCAAGAGAAAATATATATTTTATCTCTTTTATTGGTGAATTTATTAGAAGGATTTGGATCTATTCATCAAACAGAAAAATGAAGTGTTTTGATAATTTTAAAAAGTTTAAGTTGTTAAGTGAAAAACAAAGTGATAAAGTTTTCAAGATTCTAATAATTGATAGAGATGAAGATTATAATTTCAGTGAGTTTCAAGAGTTCTTTGATAAAAGAGTATTACATGAATTTATTGTACCCTATATACACTACATAATAATGGTATTATAGAAAGAGAAACAAAAATATTATGAATATGACCAAAAATATGATAAAAGAAAAAGATATGTCAAATTATTTCTAGGGAGAGGCAATCCTATTGTGTAGATTCTAACCAAGTTCTATAAATAAGTTAAATACATGTAATCCTAAGAAAGCTTAATTGGTACACAAGTGTAAGTCACCTTAGAATTTTTTTAGTCAGCACGTTTCAAGCATATTCCTTAACAACTTGTAAATAAGTTTGATGATACAGCACAAATAATTCTCATTGGTTATTATACAAGTATTTATAAGTTCTACATTCCTAAAAATAAAAAGTTTCACGTCAGTAAATATATGTTCTTATTAATAAATTATAAAGATGAGATTGATATGATACAATATCTAATAAAAATATTCTTATGCATTTTGAAAATTAGGGTGATATTCAATACATTACTGAATCACTTTATCATCAACGAATAAGATTTCAAAGGATGAGACAAACACTCAATTCCCTTAAAACTATGAAATTTATTTTGATATAACAAATTATTCTCATTGTTTATCATTCAGAGTGCTTATAAGTTGTACAATCCTAAAAGTATAAAGTTTCACATTAGTATAAATATTCTTGTTGATGAATTACAAAGATGACATTAGTTTGATAGCAATGTTCTTATACATTTTGAGGATTCAGATGATATTTAACACATTACTGAAACACTTGATCACCAGTCAAGAAGATCTCAAAAGATGAGAAAAACACTTCATTATCTTAGAGACTATGAAGTTTATTCTTATTTAATAAATGATTGTCATTAGTTATCATCCAAAGTGTTTAAAAGATGTACAATCCTAGAAGTAAAAAAAATCATATCAATAGGGATACTATTATTGATGAATTACAAAGATGAGATTGGTCTGATACAACATTTGATAGAGATAATCTTATGCATTTTAAGGATTCAGGTGATATTTAATACATTACAGAATCACTTGACAACCTGCCAAAAAGATCTCAAAGAATAAGATAGACACTCCATTCCGTTAGAGCTATGAAGTTTATTCTGATATAACAAATAATTCTCATTAATTATCATCCAATGTGGTCATAAGTTGTACAAACCAAGAAGTAAAAAGGTTCACATTAGTAAACATGCTCTTATTGATGAATTACAAAGATGAGATTAGTCTGATAGAAATGTTCTTATATATTTTGAGGATTCAAATGATATTTAATGCATTACTGAAACACTTGATCACCAGTCAATAATATCTTAGAGGATGAGACAAACACTTCATTCTCTTAGAGACTGTGAAGTTTATTTTGATTTAACAAATGATTCTCAACTGTTTTCATCCAAAGTGTTTAAAAGATGTACAATCCCAGAAGTAAAAAAAAATCATATAAGTAGAGATACCCTTATTGATGAATTACAAAAATAAGATTGGTCTAATACAACATCTGATAGAAATGATCTTATGCATTTTGAGGATTCAGGTGATATTTAAACATCACTTAATTACTTGAAAACCTGCCAAGAAGATCTCAAAGGATGAGACAGACACTCCATTCTGTTAGAGTTATGAAGTTTATTCTGATATAACAAATACTTCTCATTGGTTATCATTCAAAGTGGTCATAAGTTGTACAATCCTATAAGTAAAAAGGTTCACATTTGTAAAGATGCTCTTATTAATGAATTACAAAGATGAGATTAGTCTGATAGAAATGTTCTTATACATTTTGAGGATTCAGATGATATTTAATAAATTACTGAAATACTTGATCACCCGTCAAGAAGATCTCAAAGGATGATACAAACACTTCATTCTCTTAAAGACTATGAAGTTTATTATGATTTAACAAATGATTCTCATTAATTATCATCCAAAATGTTTGGAAGATGTACAATCCTAGAAGTATCAAAACTCATATAAGTAGAGATACTCTTATTGATGGATTACAAAGATGAGATTGTCTAATACAACATCTGATAGAAAGGGTCTTATGCGTTTTGAGGATTCAAGTTATATTTAATACATTACTCAATCACTTGACAACCTGTCAAGAATATTTCAAAGGATGAGACACACATTCCATTCCGTTAGAGCTATGAAGTTTATTCTGATATAACAAATTATTCTGATTGGTTATCATCCAAAGTGCTTATAAGTTGTACAATCCTAGATGTAAAAAGATTCACATCAGTAAAGATGCTCTTATTGATGAATAACAAATATGACATTAGTCTGATACAATATCTGATAAAAATGTACTTATAATTTTTGAGGATTCTGGTGATATTTAATGCATTACTGAAATACTTAACCACTAGTCAAGAATATCTCAAAAGGATGAGACAAACACTTCATTCTCTTAGAGACTATGAATTTTATTTTGATTTAACAAATGATTCTGGCTGGTTATCATCCAAAGTGTTTAAAAGAATTACAATCCTAGAAGTAAAAATAATCATATCAGTAGAGATACTATTTTTGATGAATTACAAAGATGAGATTGGCCTGATACAACATCTGATAGAAATGGTCTTATGCATTTTGAGGATTTAGGTGATATTTAATACATTACTGAATCACTAACTTGCCAAGAAGAACTCAAAGGATGAGACAAACATTCCATTATGTTAGAGCTATGAAGGTTATTCTGATGTAACAAATAATTCTCATTGGTTATCAACCAAAAAGGTTATAAGTTGTATAATCCTAAATGTAAAAAGGTTCACATTAGTAAAGATGCTCTTATTGATGAATTACAAATATGACATTAGTATGATACAATATCTAATAGAAATATTCTTATATATTTTGAAGATTCAGGTGATATTTAATGGATTACTGAAGCACTCGACCACCAGTCAAGAAGATCTCAAAGAATGAGACAGTCACTTTTAGAGAGTATGAAGTTTATTTTGATTTAACAAATGATTCCCATTGGTTATCATCCAAAGTTTTTAAAAGTTGTATAATCCTACAAGTAAAAAAATTTACATTAGTAGAGATAATTTGATTGATGAGTTACAAAGATGAGATTGGTCTGATTGAAATTGTCTTATCCATTTTGAGGATTCAGGTGATATTTAATACATTACTGAATCACTTGACAACCTGCCAAGAAGATCTCAAAGGATGAGGCAGACACTCCATTCCCTGATATCTATGAAGTTTATTCTAATATAACTAATGATTCTCATTGGTTATCATCTAAAGTGCTTATAAGTTGTAAAATCCTAAAAGTAAAAAGGTTCACATTAGTAAATATCCTCTTATTGATGAATTACAAAGATGAGATTAATCTGATGAAATGTTCTTATACATTTTAAGGATTATTTATATTTAATTAATTATTAAAACACTTGACCACCAGTCAAGAAAATTTCAAAGGATGAGACATACACTTCATTCACTAAGAGACTATAAAGTTTATTCTGATTTAACAAATCATTCTCATTGATTATCATTCAAAGTATTTAAAAGTTGTATAATTCTAAAATTAAAAAAACTCATATTAGTAGAGATACTCTTATTGAAGAATTACAAAAATGATATTTGGTTGATACAACATTTGTAGAAATGTTTTTATGCATTTTAATGATTCACGTGATATTCAATACATTCTTGAATTACTTGACCATTAACTAAAAGATGTCAAATGATGAGACAAACATCCAATTCCCAAATTTACTCTAATATAAAAATCAATACAAAGGAAAAGTTGTTACATTTTGCTTTGTTTGCAGAGTCAGAATCAGTAAGTTATGAGGAAGCATCTATATGTACATTGGACAAATGTCATTGAGAAAGAATTAAAATCAATTGAAATAAATGAGACTTGGGAATCTGTTGACTTACGAATTGGAAAGAAGCCAATTGATGTGGAATGAGTTTTTAAACCAAATTGAATCCAAATGGAGAGGATCTAGATACAAGGTCAAGTTTATTACAAGATGATTTTTACAAAAGTATAATCAACATTACAATGAAGTAACCTTGGTCGGATACAACATCTGATAGAAATGATCTTATGCATTTTGAAGAAGATTCATGTGATATTTAATACATTACTGAATCACTTGAAAACCTGCCAAGAAGATCTCAAAGGATGAAATCATTGGTTATCATCCAAAGTGGTCATAAGTTATA